AAACTCACGGACCGCGAGATCGTGACCTGGCTGAAGTCGGACGCTTAACCGACTGCACCACCCAGGCGCCCCTCATCCCTTTCTATCTTGAGTTTTTTCAACATTATTGTTCAGCATTTTTTTAGGTTTATTTATTTATGTGAGAGAGACAGAGACAGTGTGAGTGGGGAAGGGGCAGAGAGAGAGGGAGAGAGAAGCAAGCTCCATGCTGCCAACACAGAGCCTGATGTGGGGCTCCAACCCAGAAAACTGTGAGATCATGACCTGAGCCAAAACCAAGAGTCGGACGCTTAACCAACTGAGCCACCCAGGTGCCCTTTCCTGAGAAGTTTTAATAATTGTCAGTAATAATGCTTTTTTCTTCTGCAAAGAAGAAAATGGAAAGTGGGGAAAGTACTGTTACTTGACATTTCAACTTTGGAGCACATAGAGAAGCCAGTGGCTCAAACATCTCCACTAGAGTGTTTTCTGAGCTCTCAGACCCTTTTCATCACCTAAACCTTTGTCAAATCTGCCACTTTAAGGGTCTCCAGAAAAGGTTGTTTCTGAGGATAGCGAAGCTTGAGAAAGAACAGTTCTGTGATCATGTTTTGTAGCCATAATGTTTTCCAGTAATTGGGTCAGGGGAATATAAATTATTCACAGAAACCAGATAAAGTCAATATGGTAGACTGAGCTGACGCAGGACTTTTCCAGATGCATAGAAATGCTCAGTGAAATATGAACAAAGAAAGGCTTTTAATACATAATCAACTTCAAATGGAACACAGAAACCTAGGTGCCAAAATGGAGAGACGCAAAAGCCAGTAGGCCAAGAGGGAGATAAAGCTGAAGAGGGGGTATCAGACTGCATAAAAGGCTCAGGGACTGAAGGTTCAGAGATTAATATAGGGAAAGGAGATAAAACCTCAGTCCCAAGTGAGATAGAACTCAATGCATAAAGCTACAGATTTTGTAGGGCTGCTATTGTAATGAAACAGAAACGAGAAACATTTTACTCACTAGATTGACAAAGCAGCAATGGGGAAGACAGAATTACCCACCAGAAACTGGAAGCCCATGCTTATGTATGAGGTCCAATTTTAGACTCTTCCCAATGCTATGGGAACTAAGCTAAGATAATGTAAAAATTGATGCAACCCACAGGACCCTGGCAGAGGCAAAAGAAAATCATTCTGAAGCATGACTTCATAACTAGAGCACACACAGTAAATGAACCACAGTGACGGTGGGTCATGGAATACTGCAGACATTTATTGGCTCTCCACACCCCCAAGAACTGGATATGTAAGGAATGTCTGAACAAACCTATAAAATACTGGGGAAAGAAGATGTGGAAAGAGTAAAATAGTATGTGAGAACAGGTGGATCTAGAAGATAAATAAACTCTTGTAGACATGAGAAGGGTTCTAATTTCAATTAAAGCATGCCAGTCAGTTTAATGATAGTTCAGGTAAAACCAAAGAAAGAAAGGAAATGGAAAACGTAGAGGAGATGTAGAGATGTGGAAGATAGGATTATATATATAAGAAGATCCTGGATAAGAAAAAAACAGAGAACTGGGGACAGGCAGGACTCAAAGTGTTTTCCATACATGAAGATAAACTTCTGAGTTGTAGTGACTTTCCAGGTCTCAGCAGCTGAGCAGATTTAAAAACACATTTGGGCGCCCAGACGGCTCAGTCGGTTAAGCTTCGGACTCTTGATTTCGGCTCAGGTCATGATCTCCCAGTTCGTGAGTTCGAGCCCTGCATGGGGCTCTATGCTGTTGGTGTGGAGCCCGCTTGGGATGCGCTCTCTCCCTCTCTGCCCCTCCCCCACTCACATGCTCTCTCGCGCTCTCTCAAAATAAAATATTTTGGGAAACACAAATCTACGTCTAGTCGTACTAAGTGTTGTAACAAAACTGCAGAACACCAAGGACAGAGTAATTATAAAAGTATCTAGAAGGAAAAAGACTATCTGCAAAGAACTGGTCCTCTAAATGAGTAGATAATTAAAAAGAATGTAAGAAAGGAGAAAAGAAGTGAAGAAAAATGTGATGCATGAGAAGCCGAAAATAAATGACACTCCCTAGATATATTTTAAAACATGATGAAGTGTTAGTTGTGATGCATATATACGTAAAACAAAAGTACGAAATAGAGATGTAAGACTATTTCTGATTTATTATAAGAGAGGGGGAATTATGGGGTCTGGGAGGAGGGCAACGGACTTCGTATTTGAAATTTTATTCTTTTGTTCACATTTGAAGTAGGGGCGCCTGGCTGGCTCAGTTGGAGGAGCATGTGACTCTTGGATCTCAGGGCGTGAGTTCGAGCCCCACACTAGGTGTGGAGATTACTAAAAAAATAAACAAACTTAAAAAAAATTTTTTGAAGTCATTCTCACAACCAGGACAGGACTTGGTGCAGGAGTGCAAATGAGGTACCACGTCTGTGGTATGTGAGTATGTGAAAGCCATAAGTCAAGCTAACAAATAGCCATATACCTTGATTAATACACCTTCATAAAGACTGTGGTGTTTTGTGATTCCCAGATTCTCTGGAGTTTTGGAGCCAGAAAGTCGTGGCATGGGAAAGAGTTTGCTGCCCTGTGCCCTCCCCCCACCCTCCCAACCCCAGCTTAAGGGGTCCTGCACTTAAGGGGGTTTACACGCATGAGTTTGGGCATCACCATCCATCCGATGCAAAAACCCACCCATTGGCCACCCGCAGACCTAGGAGTGTGGATGCTGGCTCTAAGGTCTGCTTTTAGGAGGATAGTTTGGCCTTGGGTGCCAGCTTGGAGAGGTGTGACTCAACAGGAACTTCTGGGGTCCCAAATACCCGGGGTGGAGGACAGGCGTGGACTCTGGGTGGACAGGTCCCGCTGGCCCTATGGACCCTTTACCACGTGGAAGGAAGGGCTGCAGGACAGAGTGGGTCCCTCTAAAACAAGGGGTCAAGCGGTCAAGCAGAGGAGCTCCATTTTCTAAAGCTGAGCAGGTGGGTGGACATTCACTGTACTAGTAGTCCCTATGTGTTTGGAGTGTCTTGTTATAAAGAGAGCGAGAAGAATGCACCATTTCACAAGGGAAAGAGGGACATCTGTCGAGCCCAAAGGCAGGGGCAGGAACACTGCCAGCAGAGCATCCTGTGACCTTTGTATTTGCTACAGCTGAGTCTGTTTCCTCACCTGCCCAGGGAGAGACCAGGATGTGTGACTTCCCACTTGCATGGTCCTGTGAAGTTCTCATTCGCCCCATCACTAGGCAGCACCTTCCACGGAGGAATCCTGGCCAGTGCTGGGTCACACAGGGAGGACGGCCCTTCATTTCCTCCCCCCCCCCACCCCGTCCTAAAAGCAGCCAGCACAGGGAGCCCCGGGCACACTCACAGGCTCCTCCTCGTGTATCTGCTCCTCTCTGCCTTGTCCGGGCTGTTGCTCAGCAGAGCCCAGTGAGATTAATTTGGCCCGTGGAAGAAAAGGCCATGAGAGAATGGAAAGCCGGTGCCAAGGGATAGAAAAGGTGTTTTTCCTCATCAGCCATCATGCATTTTGCCAAGCTTAGAGAGCCGAGGCTCACCTCCAACTGGTGATGAACAAACATTGTCCTTTCAACTGACATAATCAGAAAACATTCTCTTCTGGAAACTCAAGTGCAAAAGGAACTTCAGCTCAGAGAACTACTGAGAATACTTTGGGCCCCGCTCCTCCTTCAAGGCCCTTGAGTTGCTGTGAGGTCGACTCCTGTCAGGAGACCATGGTCTTCAGGCTCGAGGCTCATAGACGTGGGATGGGGGGGAATGTACTCGGACGGCCCGTGGCCGCAGCTCCTCAAACAACTTCTGTGCCCTCACATTCCCACAAACGGCAGATCGGGGCGTATTTGTTTGCTAGGGTTGCCGTCACAAAGTACCACAGACTGGGTGACTTAGCAGAAATTTGTTTTCTCGCTTCTGGAGGCCGGAAGTCCAAGATCAAGGTGTTGGCAGTGTTGGCTCCTTCTGAGGTCTCTCCCACTGGCTGGTAGATAGATGGCTGTCTTCCTTGTCTTCAGACGGTCTTCCTTCTGTGTGTCTGGGTCCTAATCTCCTCTCCTTAAGAGGACACCAGTCGTGTTGGATTAAGCCCACCCTAGCGACCTCATTTAACTTAATCGCCTCTTTACAGACCCTGTCTCTAAATACAGTCCCATTCCGAGATTACTGGGGGTTAGGATCGCAATGTAAGAATTTGGGGGGATCGCAGTTCAGCCCATATCAGAGGGCATTGGCAAACTCCCACACACCAGGAACCTCCTGGGGCAAACAAAGTGACCTCGTAATGGTGAGAAATCAAAGCCCTTTGGCCTACCTGGGCAACTTTGAAGCACCCCCTTCTGCTTTATCAGAATAAACAAAAGCTACCCCAGAGGACCGCTCCGTATTTCCTTACAGCGGTGGCAACCTTGGAGGGAACCCTTTCAGGAAAGGCGAGAAGAGCTCCTAATCCTCGTGTGTTCCAAGAAAATTCACCTTGACTTTCAACATAACAATCAGGTTGTGCAGAAAGAAATCAGTCTCTCGCGGGGGCCCCAAGGCACCTCGGGGAGGCTCTCGTCCTGGTACATTTTACTGGCTCAGGGAGAGGCGGCTGCAGGTGGGACTAAGGCTTTTAAGGCATTTACCATAGAAACAGATCAGTGCTTGCAGAAGTGTTCTGGAAAGCCAAGGGTGTGCCTGGTATGAAAGGGCACTTGCGGTGCACTTCAATTAAGAGGCAGGCCGCGTTCAGAGGCGTTACGCACAGGACAGACTGGAAACAGAGCGCCTTTCAGAAGAGGGAGCAGTGCACTCAGGGTGTCGAGATAGCATCTACTGTAAATAATAGAGCTGCTGGCCAAACTGGACATTTTTCTTGACATGAGGAAGCCTTTTCCCCCGGTCTCTTTTATTTTGAAACCTAAAGTCACTGGGTGAGGCATTTTGAGAGGCATCCACATGAACCGGGACTGACCGAGTTTGATCCACCTGCAGGATGAATGAACGTGACCGCCTACTGAGGAGGCTCAGCAGGAAGACGCCCCCCACACTCTTCCGAGGAGGCTCCCTCCAGCAGTGTGTCCCCCGTAAGTAGCCCTTACCCCCTTTCGGTCAGCCAGACCCCAGTGACGCAAGGAAGGCGGAGGCTTCATTAAAGCATGCTGGTGCTAAGAGGGACGGAGACGCTTGCCAAGCCAGAGCCCCACATTTGGACGTGGAATTTGTGCATTTGGCTCCGGGCGAGTAAGCTGGAGTCTAGGTAGTGCCCTGGGACCCAATCAAATGCCTGAATGACAGAACCCTGAAACTTAAAATCCTGATGTGCTCGAGATCCTTCTGTCAGCCTCCCAATAGGATTTTGTTCTAAGGCTCAAGTGATATGATTTTTAAATCATTTCCCCCAAAGATAGCAATGTGCACTCTTTTATTTCGTATTAGCATGTTAATTAAAACAATGACGATCACCGGGGGAAAAAAAATCTCTGTTCTCTTCCCAGGAAGGCTGCCTCTGCCTCTAGCGCTGGTGTCCCCACTCAACACCAGAGGCCAGGCCTGATTTCTGCTGAGGCACCTGACCCAGGCAGGGGTCAGTGGGGGTGTGCCAGACCCCAGAGGAAGGGTGGGAGGCCATGAAAGAGACACAGGTGGCACAGCTCACGGAGGTTGTAGGCCTATTTCAACAATCCAGCCACTTGGCTGGCCGCTGAGAGGTGTTATTAGCACAGGTTTCCTTGGGCCGGAGGTTTCCTTGGGCGAAGCCTGTTGGCACCTGTCGTCTGTCACCTGTTTCTGCCCCTCTGAACCCCGCCTCTTCTCCCAGCACCCCGTCTCTCGCACATCACTTACCATCTCTTCAGCTGACACGTCTCTTGCTTCCTTTCTCTCCCCGAGTTGTTCAGGAGGGAACAGGAATGGTTTAGGAGAAGTGGAGAATTGTTGTGTCCGTAGTAACAGGTATTGAGGGTCTGTGTCAGGCTCCCCTGAGCTCCACCCATCAACAGATCTTCACAGACTTTCCAACAGAGAGAAGGACAAGGATAGACTCCCTCTCCTCACTTTCCCCACACGGAACACCAAGTTCCCTGTGGTGCCTCCCATGCCGCCCGTCCTGCCCCAGGAAGCAGGCAGTGTCCGCCCCGAGAGCACTCGGCAGAGGCTCAGGCCGCTACAGTAACTGGCGAGCAAGGCCCAGCGATCTGGGTCACAGCCATTGTCTCTCTGATCCAGGAGACAGGTTGAGTCAGGAGGCTTGATGGCGTGGTCCAGAGAGCGAGGTCTGCAGGGTCCCGCTTCTGGAGCTGGACTGCCTGGGGGTCCTGTCCCAGCAATGTCACTTTTTTTGTGTGACCTTACATCTCTGTGTCTACATCTGTAAAATGGAGATGATGTAAGAACTGGGTTCGGGGGGAGAATTAAATGAGATGGTTTATACCAAGTGCCTAGAACAGTGCCTGACACTATGGAGTCCAATAAAGGTGAGGTATTACTGGTTTTTTCTGCCACTAGGTGAGTAACTTTGGGCAAGTTACATATTTCTCTAAACTTCTGTTTCCTCCACTGGGGGAACAAAAGAATTATAATAATATACGTCTTACACTCCCTCTGTGAGGCTTCAGGATGATGTGTGTAAAGCAGCTCTCTATAGCAGGCACAGAGAAAATGGACACTGATTCTGTAAATGATGATGTCTAGGCCCCACTGCTTCTCTAATAAATGTTTCAGAATAACCCGAGAAAGACTCTATGTGATGCATATATTGAGATCAAAGATCAAGTAAGAACTTGTGTAGAAGAGTCATAAAATATCCTACAACTGTTGAACGTTCTTCTTAACTCTCGGTGTTTTGAAGGACAAAAGAAAATTCTAAGGAACAAGTACAAGGAATAAAAAAAAAGACCTCTAAAATCACGGCACGTTTTAAAAACACCCAGCAACTAACAGCAAGAAACCGATCGGTAACAGAACATTCGGTCAGTAACAGCTAGAGAAGGCCATCGAGCTGTGACAAGTGGTCCTGGCCTGCGAGAAGGTCTGCGTTCTCCTCTTGGCCTCTGCTCGCCCGCCCTGGGTCTGTCCGTCAGCTGTCTTGGCCCTGTCTTCCCAGGAAACTGGAAGGAAAACTCTCACCTTGGCGGGATTTTTAGTTCCTTACAGGCCACCGACACGCGGTATTGATAACTGAGATGAGCACTTTCCTACAGTCTAATTTCCTTGTCATCCGCAAATGGGCTACCCCCATTTCTGTCGCTTTCAGGGAACTTCTGCTTTCATGAAGCTGTTTTATCAGAGCTACTTAAGGGGAGTTTTATTCCAAAATAACTTTTAAAAAATGACATGATTTCATGGGTTTCACCAAATGTTCTATCAGAACACAAAACAACTAAGATGCTCCCCTGCCCTTCCAACTCCTCTCACCTACCCCCTTCTGCCCCCAGACTCTGGCTGTGGCTGAGCATTTAAGGAGCAGATGCCTTGGGAAGCCAGCCAGGGGAAGTTTTATGAGTGGGGTCCATCCAGGGCTTTCCCCACGGCCCCATCATTACTTTCTGGCTCCCGGGACTTCCTGACAGATGGAGCAGATCGGGAGAGGCTAAGGGTTGGAGGCTTCCTCTGAGCTCCCCATTTGGATGCAAAGGGCGGCGACTTGTTCATCGGACAGAAGCTGGTGACCTGATGGGGCATCTTTGTTGGGCTGAGGGGTGCGGGCTGGGCGGGCAGAGGCTCATTGGGTGGCGATAGTCCCTGTGGCCCCACTAAACACTTTTCCCCTCACGGCCCTCGCTCCCGCCAGGCCTGGTTTCTGAGAAGACCATGTTGTTGTCTGTAGGAGGGGGACACCCCTGCCCCAGGGTAGCCCTCCCAGGCCGCCCTCCATTCCTTCTTGAGCTACACGGCTCACTTCATGTCTCTGTTGAGGCTAAGAAAGTCTAGTGAGGAAGGTCTTAGTGCGTCACGTTCTGGAAACATGATGGTAGATGCAACCCATGGGAACTGCGGGACAAGCCCTCGGGGAGTGGCCTCTGGGAGCTCAGCTGACCCTGGGAGAAGAGATTTGCTACTGGACCAGAAGGTCCTCTCAGATGGACACCTGGAAGCCCTTCCCAGTCTGGAGTGGAGGGGGAATCCTGCCGGAAGGCCCTTGTGCCAGTGAGACAAATACAAGCCAAGGATGCCTTACAGCTCCAAGCTACATCTGTGTCCCAGTAGGCATGGGCAGGATATGAATGAAAAACAGAATAAGACAAGGCTTTTGCTCTTTGCACTTGAGCAAGGAGCAGACAATTCCACATGCTAAGATAACTTTCCCAAAAGGACACTCCCAAACAACATTTCTGTGTCTCAAAAAGTCCCCTTCATTTCTTCCTCTCCACCAAGCACCTCCCCCCTCCAAAAAGCACCTCAAAAAAGACGGGTAGCAGTTGTTCTACTCAGATGGATTGTTGAGACTGCCTCCGTTCTTTTCTGGAATGGAGGTAGAGGCTTCCTCCAGTGGTGCTGAGTGTGAATCGGGCCTGAACGAAGACGAGCGTTCTGTGGCCTGGCTGTAGTTCGCCATGGAAACGCCTGGCACCCATGTGGAAGGTTAGAGCTCTGAGGACACTTGGACCTCATCTGGTCCAGGCCCTTTATTTTACAGAACAGTCAACTAAGAAGACCCAGAGAGCTTAACCCATGGTCCTGTGGCCACGTTACTGCCACGCAAGGACTAGAACCATCCTCTGCCTCAGGCCCTGGGCCTCAGGATCCAAGATGAAAGCAGCACAGGTGAGAAAGCCGCCGTCGGGGTGGAGAGCTCACTGGCCACCTACCTGCCACCAGACAGGCTCGGGAAGAGCACTGACAGGGCGCTCCCATCGCTTGGGATCAGAGCCACTTCCCGGGTTGACGAGCATCCGCCTGGGGTGTCACGGCAGGCCACCGACAAGGGCTGCGTGGCCCCCTCAGGAAAACATGGGATGTTGACTAGAAATGTTCCTGTTAAAAGACCGGAGAGTGAAAAGTGTCCAAGTTGACCACAGAACACAGCCTTGTGACCGGAGGAGACGGTGTTACTGGCTAGATTTTGCTTTGAAACATCCCACGGCAAGGTGTCCGGTCTCAGACTACAGTCAAAGAGCCGCACAAAGAGCACCTTGTGCTGGAGGGGCCTCAGCACCCGGGAGGGAGGGAGCCGCCCCTCGGAAGCTGGGCAAGGGATGTCTCCTCTCCCCTGGCCCTCACCAGTCAAGCAACTCACTCGGAGGAAACCTAAATCAGAAGAATGGAGGAGAGAGGAGGCATTTCCTCTTCAGGTCCCGTGAAGCCGCTGAAGCCTCCTTGTGTGGAAAGCCATCATGAGAAAGTTCAAGTGCCCTGCACCCAGCACCCCCAGGGCCTCCCTCCCCAGGCCCGCTCCTGCATTCCAGCCCAGGGACCCCGCCTGCTCTTGGACCCCGCAAGATGGGGCTCACGCCAGCCGCCACATGGTGTGATGTTTTGGTTTGCGGATTTGGTTTTGTTAGAGATGGAGGTGAGCCAGTGGAAGAAAGCCCCCGCCCCCCGTGGAAGATTCCTTTCGGTTCTTATCCTTCCCTAGTTCTCCCTGCACTCCCACCCGCCCCTGCTGTCCAGCCCATGTCCTTAGCTGCCTCCCGGGCCACCTGTGCAGAAGAGCCCTGGCCTCCCAGGGTGTCCTTTCTGAGCCCTGGGGTTTACTCAGGTGGTGGCCGGGAGAGCCGGGAAGCCAGCCCAGGCTCAGAAAGTCTGCTTTATGAGAGTCTGGTTTACGCAGAGCACAAAGTCACCCTGCGCACCATCCCCACGAAGACGGCTATGCGTTGCTCTTACCTGTCCTTATGGTTCAGAAACTCTCCTTTGTAAGCCAAGTGTCTTAGTAAAATAGTCACCCCCGCGAGGTGATACACGGCCACAACTTCTGATTTCTTTTTCTCCCTTGGAGAACGTGGCCGTGAACTCACATGTCCATTGATAAGTCATCCGCACACGTGGATGGGAGTGACCATTGTCAGACGTTTTACCGTGTTGTCTTTTGGTCAGAATGTCCAATCCAGCTGTGGGACTTCGCCATACCCCTGCCCCAGAGGAGTTAGCCAACAGAGACAGAGTCTTGTAGATGCTCCTTCTGTGGGAAGGACCCTTTAGGAAGGAGGGACCTACTCTGGGCTTTCGAAGGCTAAACCTCTCTTGGAACCAGAGGTGCAGGAGAGTGTGGGTCCTGCAGAAGTCCTGCCTGGGTTTGGCTCCCAGCCCTGCCACTCACTAGGTCTGTGAAATCACCCTGCTCCTCCGTTTCCCCATCTGTGAGATGGGAAGAATACTATCACCTAACTCATAGGGCTTTGGGGGAGGAATAAATGAGCTATTCGTGCATAATACATAGAACAGGCCTGACGCACAGAGCATTTAATAATTGTTGGAAGCTGGGGCTGGTGTTGTTATTATTATCGGAACTGATTGTAAGACCCATTCTTCCTGGGGGGCTCTGGAATTTATCTTGTGATCTTTTTCTTTATGTACACAAAAATGAACACACTAATTTCTTATTACCAGTCCGCATCAGTCCGCTTGAAAAGCGGGAATGCCGCGAGCGTCACACGCGCATCGCCAGTCTTCGCTCCCGGCGTTGCTGGGTGCTCCCCAGCCAGCCTGCCAGCTTCAGGCAGATTGGGACACTTCTGGAGCAGGGCAAGTGGCCTTGCCTCCCGGCTGGCGCTGGGACAGTGCAGACACGGACCAGTGACCTGCCGTTTATGCTTCCCTGGCTGAGCTCCGCCGCGGCGAGGCCGGCCCCCGAGCCTTTCCCATCCCGGCGGTGGCGGCCAGAACCGGTCAGGCCTCGTCCCACCCCGCCCCATACTCTGCCCACGTTTCCCTCCCGGGCCACGGGTCTGTCCGTCCCAGGCTCCCACCTACCCAGGGCCGGTGAGCCCAGTGTGGCGAAACCGAGCTCCCGTGTCCCAAAAGAGCATTTTCTTCTACACCCTGGGTGGTCCCCCCTCCCCCAGTTCTCCTGTCAACCAGTCCCCGTGTGTGTTCCTCCTGCAGATGGGTACGCCTTCTCTCAAGAGGAGCATGGAGCTGTCACTCAGGAAGAAATCGTCCGTGCTTACGACACCACCAAGAAGAAATGCAGGAAGAAATAAGACGTGAGTTGTCCTGATGGGTCCCAGGAAAGAGACGTGGTTTGTCGCGCCCGGTGTGAACCCATCTCTGCCCGAAGAGACTGGTGTCAGCAGCCAGAACACCATAAAACACATTTCCGTGGCCTTAGCCAACCGGTTTGTTAGTCACACAGTCCCTCGCAAACCTGCAGTAGAGCCCGCGGGGGAGGCCGTCTCTTCCCCTTCCCGTGTGTCCGCAGCGCTTGGCCTAACTTCCGTTCCCGTTGTTGCGAAGCATTCAGCTGTGCTCTGTGAGCCGTGAAATTGAAAGCGTTACGTTTCATTTAAACATCAGTGCTAGCGGTCCTGGGAGAAAGGCGAGAGAGTGCCATGCCCGTCTCGCGGAATGGGAGCGGGGGCGCGCTCGCCTCCTGTCGCGTTAACTCACGGAATTGGGTCCACCAGGCAGCGCGTAAACTGCATTCGGGGCAGGCCGGCGTCTGGCTTTGATTCCTCTTTGGTTTGTATGACGTCGGCGTAAACTTCTCGACTGCGGTGAAATCGCAAAAACGTCCGTCAGGGTGGTAAGCCTGAGGACGCTTATCGTAATGCGCTCCACGGGCCCGGCAGGGCGGCCGGGTCGGCGTTCCAGGATTCTCCTGCACCCTTCGCAGGTGCCCCCTGTGGCCCGGCGGGCTTCCCTGTCGCCGACCTTCTGCATGGCTGGCCGCGGTGCTCGGTGCATGGCCGCTGGTGGGCAACCAACCGAAATCTGCACTGTTTCTTGCTCTAGCACAGATTCAGGCTACCGATGCGAGAAATCCCCTCTTCCACACCGCCCTTTCCCTCCCGTAACTCCAGAAAAGAAAACATACCCCGCATGTATTCTGAGCGTCTGTCCGCCTCCTTCCGAGGACAGGGAAGCCTGCGGGGTCGGGGTGGCAGAACGCCTCCGCCAGCCTGCTCTGGTGAGGCTCTCGGCGCTCACTCCCCAACCTCCAGGCCACTGGACCTTTGGCACCCATTTAAGCCAGACCCACGCTTGTTCTCTTGGGAGTTCGGAGCACATTTTGCGTTTTCGCTGCTGGGAAACCACTGAATTTATAGCGTGTCTCCCCGGAGAAGAGAAGCCCCTGTCACTCTGCCACTCTGAAATCGGAGAGAATGAGGGAATCCAGTGGGAGAGTAAGGGGCCCTGAGGCTGGTGGAGGAAGAAAGCCATCAAAGGAGAAAGCAAGAGGCAAGGACACAGAGACGCGGAGACGAGGACGCGGGGGGACATTTTAGCCCAGTCTCCGTGGAAACCGGAATCAAGCCCGGAAGCCCAGGCGGTCGTGATGATCTGCCTCATGCATACAGGAGGCTAAACAAGACCTTGACAGGCAGTTTTCGTTGAAAAGAATTCTACACCTTTCAAGGAAACGCCCTTTTCTATAGGGATGAGGTTTCCTTCCTTATCGAGTCGGTGTGATATACGGGCACCTCCCGGAAAGTAAAGTGTCCTGAATCTAAGGCAAGGAAGAGAAGCGCTGAGTCACTGACTTTGCAAACTGCGCAGTGCCACCTTCTAAATTTGGACGGAACTTGTGAGCCCTCAGGCATGAATGTCAGCACCTGGAGCCCTTAATAAATGGCCAGCCTGGAGGCACGTTCCTCTCCTCTCCGCTTTGGTTGCCAAACCAGATTTTTGGATGGCTTCACATAAATACTTCTGGGCAGCTGTTACTGCTTAAAATGGCACAGTGCTTCTGGGGATGGCTGTGCTAAATGGGGAAATAAAACAATAGTGCACTTTGCTTCCTTATCCTTTATTTTTGGAACATCCACATCTTATTGGGCATTGTAATAACTGAGAATATGATTTGCTTTGACTAAGAAAACTAATCCTTTACTTATGACATGACCAGGATTCAGAGAGGGCTTACGGGGAAGCGGAATGCCGTGAGGCTTAGAAAATGGCCCTTCCTTCTTCCCCAGGACGGTAAACCATTTTTAAATACTAGAACACCCGGTGACATGAATCACCGGAGGACTGTCATGCAGGAATTGCGCCCCCCAGCCCACAAGATGTGCCTGTAGTTAACACAACAGACCAAGGTAAATGTCTTTATTGGACACCCAGAGAGATGATGTCCTAAATACATAGGAGGAATGAAAATTTGAATGAAAATTTGAATGTGCGTTAGGCATCCTGACTGTTTGGTTTCATTTGGAACTAAGCCTGTCTGGAAAGGGGAACTCAAACTCATTCTTTGTCAAATACTTAGTTCTTTCTTTCACTTGAAGCCTTCCAAATTAGATTTCTGAATTACGGGGGGGGGGGGTGTGTGTGTGTGTGTGTGTGTGTGTGTGTGTATGTGTGTGTGTTTTGTTTGGGCTTTTGGTTTTTTATTTTATTTTTTACATTAAAATGCAGTTCAGATTTTCTGAGATTTTAGTATATTTTCCAATTCTTTTGAAAATGGGACTAAGCAGTCTTTGCAAGTATGAGACATGCACACAGAAGAAACCACGAGATGGGATGCCTTTCTGTTCTCTTATGCGGTTACGCCGTCTGGTAGCCAAATGACTAAATTGGGCTTCGAGGAGGAACAGCTGTCACTGTGTGCAGTGTAGTATTTAGCCGCGGCCAACTCGGGGGCTGTGTCACTTGTCCCGTCTTCGAAATCGAGGTCAGAGTGTCACGCACAGCCCCTCCCCAGGGAGCAGGGTGGACTGGAGCAAGTTGCATACTCTGGCTGTCAGCTCAGTGGAGATGCCACATGGGACTTGTCACTCTGCCACATGGTAAGTGACATACAGGCTGGCAGGTCATACTTGGTCAGCACTACGGGGCCTGTTCCTGATTGGGCTAAAGTAGCAGCATCCACTGAGGCCCAGCCTCGGTCTGGGGTTATACACAGACTGCCGACTCTTAAATTTGAGTCCACGTTCCATTCCGGCTGACTCCGCAGAAAGAAAAGACTGGCCGTTCTATGCACTGAGTTTTGAGTTCCACTGCACACTCGCACGGGCCAGCAAGGGAGGCTGTGGCAAGTGCACATTAAGCGGGCAGGATAAGAGAACAGAATAAGCCAGCCATTTCTGCTTGGCTGTCTGGATTAGCACTTGGTTGCTGATCAGAATGGGCTTTGTCATCATTTGGGGATGTGGCTGACGTGTCCATCCTGTCTCTGCGCAAACTGTTCAGGGCTTCTCGACCAGTGTTATGTTCTCCCATCTGCCCAAAATGTGATCATCTCGGGGGGAATCACAGAGCATACAAAACCCGTGCTTTGGAGAAAGGAGGTGCTGTTGCTTTAACATTCGCGGAGTAACACCCTCAAACGTGAACCTGAGTTTTGGCAGAGCATGGCTGGGAACTCTGTTGACGTTTCCTTTTCCCTGACAAGGCTTCAGGTCTTGCTGTAGGGAGCTGGCAGTGGAAATCAGTGATAACTTGTCAAGAAGCGGTGAATAATGAAAAAAAAAAGTGAGTATGAGCAACAAATGTCTGAAAAATGCATATAGATGTACATATGACAGGCGCTAAGACTGAACTTTTTTAGAGAAAACTATCGTCTGTAATCTCCATTTGTTACAACAATGACCCTTTATCTCCTTTTTTGAAGAGAATCTTCTATCATATTTCTGTTCCTAGGAGTTTCTGTCTTAGACCACAAGTTGGGTAGAATGTTTGCAAAATTCTGCTGTAGGATGAGGTAGCCTTTCACCCTGACCATGTGAAGGAAGTGCACACGTTTCAGCTGGCATCTGGATTACTACCGAGGGCCATTGTCCCAAAGTAATTCAAGGAGTGATTTTGCCTCAGCATTTGAAATGTAGACTTCATCTCCTGGGATCCGTAAAAATGGCGAACGGGGGGAAATCTGGTTAAGCAGAACCCAAAATAATAACCTGGCAAAGAAATGAGTTTGTCAGGTCAGGTTCAAGGATGGCGTCCCCCATCACATTCGTTAAATACTTTCTTCGTGCAAATGCTTGTATTAGCAAATACAGTAGTGATAGAGATAGTGAAAATAAAGCCCTCCCCGCTAACAAGGGAAGGCATACCTCAGTTGGCTTTGTTGCTGGTTCTCCGTTGGCTCTAGGCAGTTGTTGGTCTAACTGTAGCCTTGGGAGAGATTATTTAGTCTCATCCTAGCCATTTTCCCATCCTTAAGGGTGAGGAGGATGGTTACAAGAGTTTCCATGGGGTTGTAGAGGTGAGAGTCCAAGATCTCCCCCATGATGATATGTTAAGAAGTATCTCCAAAAGGAATAGACCTGGAACACTCTACCCGATGGGTGGTATTCTTCATTTGTTTATTTTTTTTAGCATCCCAACAGAATGCTGTTGTCCAACAGTACACATTTGCTTCGATATTACATGAGCTTGATTGACTGCCAGGCCTCAACTAGCACTCTGTTTGAAGCTCTCCCTTAGCTTGTTGGGTATGACTGTGGCAAACCAGGATGCAGTCTTCGACAGGAATAAAAGGCCACGGAGGCCAGCACAGTGTTCGGAAGCTACAAAACAAAAGGGGGCAGAAAAGAGGGGCGGCTCACCCTGCTGTCCCGCCCCAAGCAAAATTCATAGCTGTTAACTCTGACAAACACCTCTGCTCCCCTGACTGAGGAGGGACAAAAGAGTGATTCTTTTACACCTTGGCTGGCTCATTTTCAATGACAATCTCTTGCCCTAGTTGCCTTAGAGACATCCACTCTGCTCTTTCTCTCAGGCTCCAGACCAACAAAAACACACTTACAAGATTAGCCCATCGGCATGTCTTCTGACCTGGCTAAAGAAAGAAAGGAGACCTGTTCCTTTTAAAAGTCAGGAACTACGTGTCAGGTGGCTTTGATTTATGACAGAAAAAGGAAGAAGAAAGTTGAGGTAACAGCACTATCCAAATAACCCTGCCCGGGAAACTGAGGGGTCAAGAGAGCTGATCAAGAGCCTTTTATAGGCAAGCTCTTCTGTGTGGCAGAGAAGGGGCCAGAAGGAGGCGGAAAGCCTGAAGGTGAGGATGTGAACCCACCTCCAATGGGATTCGATTCAG